GTTTTACAAATGAAAAGTGGAGATGGTTTGCAACTGTGACTTAGATTAAACATGACTTAGCTGTTTCCCAACCATTTTTGGTCGCGGACTATTTTCACACCAGGGAAAATCTTTGCGGACTCAACGTGCGTTAACTGTAAAACCGAACTCTGTGTGAAGGAGCAATAAAATCAAAAACAACAGAATTTTAACGAAGTACGTTTATAATTCATATTTATAAAATTCAATCGAAGCCATAGCGAGGTTGCTCAGTCATTGAGACGTCGAGAACTGCTCGCTCTGACAAACTCGAAAGATTTTATGAGATCACTGGCTACAATCGCTGACGAAATTTATAGGAAGGAATTTGCAACTAAAATTTTCAAATAAATTCATTCTGATTTTTGTCCTTATCAATCGCCTTTGTAAAATTGAAAAATTAACAACATCTTTACGGCCGGTTCCTGAATTCGCTGTCATTTTCTGTCTGTATTTTTCTATCGAGTCTATGTTTTTTTTTTGCCTCGAAACAAATCCTCTGAAATGTTGTTACTGCGTATTCATTGAAACCTGATAGAACTCACCTAATGGTATTTCTTATTCAAATTATTATATCCGCTCGGAAAATTTTGAAATGTTACATCTTTGGTATTTGTATTGGTGAATCGAATTTTACCAAATGGCCCACTGAAAAGATGTAAAATTCATGCGATATTGGCGCACAATAAGATCATTTAAAAATGTAGCAATGGTGTTACAGGAAACAAATAGATAAAAACAAAAATATAACACTCAATATTAACGGAAGCGAAAAGTACGTGTAAACTCGTGTTTTTGTCAGAAATCTGCGAGTCCGTTGTGCAATTTAATCGTTTGATTCAGCGCGATTGACCTGCTGTGTCCAAGTCACATGTTACCAGGTATTCCAATAGTTTGCTGTTCGAATATTTTGCCCAGTCTCCTTGCCTTTTATGTTTTATGTAAATACTAACGTAAATCGTAACTTGGCTGGTAAAAACGTTTTCGCCCCGCAATGAGTTTTGCGACACTGAAAAGGTTATTGACCTACATTGAATATACTACTACATAACTTTCTAATTTTGTCGTCGCGGACTCATTCGAACGTTCTGCGGACTCATTTGAGACCGCGGACTCGGGTTGGGAAACACTGATTAGCAGAACGCAAATCGGCTTTGACTTCATGCAAACAATCAAGTATGAAAATCTGCCAATTACATTCGTCGAAAACTTGATCGCTTAAGACAGTCTAGTTGGAGAAAATCTAGAATGTTTAAAACTAATCTTAAATGAAGTTTTCAAAAAGAAACCAGATTAAAGCATGTATTACATTGCTCTCCTGTATCCCGATGGCCACATTTTTCTATTAGATTTAGAAACAAAAGCAACAATTGAGATTCCATGTTTGTTAAAGCTGGAATGTAGTCAGATAGTCAACTTCAACTGCAAGCTATGGCTTCTCACTAGAAACAAATTGTACTACATGAAAAAATCTAAAGAGTTCATTGAGAAAAAGTCAATGATTAGTCCCAAACTTGATGATGATACAAAGGTGACAACTGCAGAAGACTCATTTATGTGGTGAACCAGAATTGGATGGCTTTATATGATGCGTCAACCAACCAGTGGAATGAAAATTTACCGGGTGTCAAAGATTTTTTACAAATAACGCATTCGTTGTAGTCACAGAAGGCAATACCATTTCTGCTTTCAGTTCAGGCAATTCGAGCTTTATAAATTACAATAATGACTTGGAAACTTGGACGCAGGATGATGGCATGCGATGTTTATTTACCGTTTCTTCCAGATATTCTACAGTTAAAATAATGAACATACTTTTCGTTGCACAATCTGCCAATATTAGGGCAATAAACAGAAAAAGCAAAATTGAAGAAATCAGAACGAATACTCCAGTGTATTGCCAGAAAGGGCATTAATTATATTGCCAGACCTGTCGTTCTTATGGCGCTGTAACTTATCAATGTTATTTAGGAAATTCACCGAAGAAATGGCTGCTGAAATGGTATCGATTAATATGATCGAATTGTTTGTAAAACAAAAGAGCGAGCAATATTAACCTACGTTTTTATCCCTTGTGTCGAAGTTATAAATGCTACATTGACTACAAGTATCTTCTGTTTTAACTTACCGTTTTCACATGTAGGATAAAAAATACAATTGTGTAGTATTGATTAGTTTGACACATTTACACTTTGTGTTTAATATAAATGTAATAAAGATTTTTCCAAATGGTCTCTAATAGTGTATTATTCAGTATGTATTGTATTAAGTCAATTAAAAATCCAGCTTCAAGTTTTATAAAAAAATTTCGAAAATATGACGCACATCATACCGCAGGTAGTCTTTAGCAGTAAAAATTGTGTGAAATCAAAAATAAAATTGTGTTGTAATCTTGCAGAAGGAAACAATGACAATGGATAAGGGTATTCCCAAAAACGTCAACTTGATGAGATACACTATGTGACTGAATTGAGATTATTCTATAATTTGAACCATTTATTTAATTATGCCTTACAAAGACGAAAATAATATAAAATCCCCCGGAATGTAGGTAAATAATTTCTTTCAAGACGCAGGTAAAAAAAATTCTAACAGTCGAGGGCGCATTTGATTTGCTACTCGCCGGCGTCTACTTAACGCCCAATTTCTTCAATGAACTCCATATTCAGCAATTCGTTATTCTTTTTGTGCCTTCTATTCTTTGGCAATCTCAACAGATACACGTTACCTGTATCGCTAACAAGAATAGTTAAATAAAATGCAAGTTCGTAACAACAAAGGGGTTTTATCAAGTACCATATTTTTCAGTGTTATCGAAATACTTGTACTCTCCTCGAAAATGCTATAGCTAGTAGTAGATTAACCACACATCTGTGTGTGTTGTCCGAGACTGGTACACAAAATGAATATAAAAATAGCACGTATTAAAGAGTATAAATAAATAAAATCAATGGGCCTCAGGAAGTCCAGATACAGCTATTTAAGTCTCTTATCAAATAAAAATGACATTTTCGTCCAAAATTAAATATTCTACTAAAACCTAATACTATTTCCCTCTCGGTTTGGCAGCCAAAATTAACACATAATACAAACGAAATGAGTAATGCATTCTTTTACGTTAGTTTCAAGTACGTACATCAACGGGAAAGCGTCTTTTTGTTCTCAGCCATAAGCATTTACGAGAATCGTTCAAGCTATTTAAACATACTAGGACGGAGGTGGATCCAATACAATACGCTATTTAAACAGCCGAAGTCAGTGCCTCAAATGGCTTAGAAGGTGTAATTTTTTAATATTTTGTATTTATCTATTAGTCACAACGATGCTAATTCCTAAACCCGTATTTAAACCGTAATTTTCATTGTTGCTTTATTAGGTGCAAATGTCGATGTATTTTCAAGAAAAAAGATATTGATATTTTTAGAACAACTAAACTTCGACTTCTTTTAGCATTAGCAAACTACCTGGGCCAACTAATTGATTTTACCACTTCAGCTTGCCAATTGGAAAAATATTTGTTAGAATCGTTTTTACGCTAAAAGATTTAAGCAATAAAATTTCTTTCATTTTATTTTATAAATGATTGTTCGTTGCATTTAAAACTGGGAAAACGTATGTTTATCGTCTAAGCATGATCCATTTTCAGCTGCGTGAAAAGGTAATAAATACCTTTTGGGAGAGATGATTATTGAAATTTATGTTTGTTTGGAACCTTTTTTGCTTCTTGCACATGTCTTGCGATACAGTTTTTGTTTCTTATTTCATTTCATTAAATAACATTCCATCGCTTATTGCAGTTAGTCAATATGATAGCCATTGTTTCGGTTGTCATGAATAAAATGTATGGTTAATATTAGCTTCCTACATCAAGAACAGTATAATTGGTTATGTTGAACAGCATTGTGATTTTGTGAATCTAATTCGTGAAGAAGAGCATCAGTCTGATTGCTTATTTTCTTCTTGTTGAATTTTTGGTGGGTAATATTACAGTTTTAGTAACCATGCAAATAAATGGTACTAAAATAAAATTTTTGACATTGCTTTTGTTTTAGGTCATTCAACACGCCCAACTTTAGTTTTATTAAGGATGTATTCTAATAAAATTTTTGACATTTCATTTGTTTTATATCAGACTATTCACCACTTCCAACTTTAGTTTTATTAAGGATGTATTCTAATGAAATTTTTGACATTGCTTTGTTTTAAGTCATTCACCACACCCAACTTCAGTTTTATTATCAAGGATATAATTGTGTAAATTTTCATCAGATTAACATTTTCCATCTTTTTCAAACATTTAAGATGGTGTTTATTGTTCACGTAGATATTAGAGCTCGTATATGAATATTAGTGTCATTTTGAAAAAATAAATTTGAATTTTATCATATATATAGACGTAACGTTACATCTAAATTCGTCGTTCCCTCATTAGTTAAAAAAATTGACTATCGCGACCAGTTTAAAACAATAATGGTGAGGAACGGCGTGTCTAGCACTCCAATATCTCGAAAATGAGGCCGGCCAGCTGTTAACATGTGTAACAGCAATTCAAAATGTGTGCTTTATTTATAAATCAGTGGTTCTTACTTGGGGGTGGAGAGGCGTAGACAAATTTTTGAGGGGACGTGAAGCTAAATAAAAGTTAAAACAATGATGAGATTTGATCTTGAATATTTACGTTTCATCCACGTATTTTCAACGTGTTTTTGAAATAAAACCGTTTTCAATAGCAATAACCAAAAGAACTGCTGCTGGTTGTAAAGATATCAAGTTCGTGATTCAAAGTGCATAATCATGTTTAGTAGTAAATTAAAAAAGATTTTTTGAGGAATTTTTTTTTTTCGGTAAAGAAAATATATTTAAAAAACGACACCATCTATGGCGAGCTGTTCTAATAATTTAAAAACTTCCATAATTTACAGGTAAACCTAGTATTAAAGTATCTTCTATCAAAATAGTTTTGTTGAAACATTACATTTAGAATGTCCGAAAATCCAACTTCCGACAATGAAACAACTTCAAACGAAAATGATACTGAACCACAAAAAGACTTTAGAGAAGCAGGACTTCCGACTGATTTCATAATCAATGTTAGTGAACAGTCATTTGAAGTTCATCGCGACTTGATTATGACTAAGTCGGAATATTTCCGAGCAATGTTATCTCACGACACTAAAGAAAACCAGCAAGGATTTGTGGATATGAACGATGTAAACCCAACTGTTATTGGTCAATGCATTGAGTTTATGTACACTGGAGAAATAACCGAGGTTTTACCAAATATTGAAAATATCGAAGATGTATTGCAAGCAGTAGAACTCATGCAACTGGAAAATCCCACAGATTACTGTGTAGAATTTTTAGACAAAAAACTGAAAGACTTAACCTGTCTCCATATTTCATTAATCGTAGCTAAATTTAGCATCACTGAACTGAAAGAAAAAATTCTTTCACTATTAGGAGAAACATATAACGTTGACAATGTATTTGATATACTGGAAATGTCAAAGGTTGATTTTGCCGAGTATATTAAAAAAAACAAATTTTCTCCAAATATGATTGCATGGGAGTGCGTAATACATTGGATTAATTATGACTTTGAAAATCGTTCAGAGTTCATTAATGAGATTTCAAATCAATTGCGCTGGGAGAATTTTCCGTCTGACGCTTTTTTAGAAACGATCTGGAATGAACCAGCGTTCAAAGATAACAAAGAATGCACGGACGTTCTATTTGAAAATGTTTTCACAGATATTGAAATATTTAAAGAAAATCTCAGTGTTGACAATTTTTATATTCTAGAAAAAATGGCAAAAAAGTTTAGATTTGTTCCAAAGCAAATCAAACAAATGTTCCGCCAATATAAAACGTCACATTTTGCAGGACTTTCAAGAAAAAGCGACTTTAAATTTGAAACTAAACAGGAGCTGATTTTAATCTTAAGAGATGAAGAAAATGAGTATTTGACTAATGAAAAGTGTAAATGGTTTGCAATCATGACGTGGATTGAACATGACTTAGTAGAACGCAAAGAAACGTTATTCGACTTCATGCAAACAATCAAGTTTGAAAATCTGCCAAATAAATTCATTGAAAACGTGATCGCTAAAGACAGTCTGGTTGAAGAAAATCTAGAATGTTTAAAACTAATCCTGAATACTGTCTTTAAAATGAAACCAGAATATAGCATGTATTATATTGCTCTCTTGTATTCCGATGTTAGTACCTCTAAAAATATCAATATCTTTATTTTAAAATACATCGTTATTTCATGTTACGTACCGATGCATGCAGAGGCGTGCGTGTCATAACTTACTTTAAAAATAATTTGGGGCATAAACAAACTATAGACGTTGTTATGGATGAGAATAAATCAATCAACGGTAAGTGTGGAATATTTGTAATATTATTATTATTCAAAACATCAAATTAAGAAACACCCTCACCTCTATAACGTGCTTCTCGGGCCGGTTGCCCCCTGTGGCTCCCCTCTAGACACGACGCTGCATACATGCAAACAAAGTTAGCATACAATTTTACTTTGGAAAGGAAGCCGCGGGAAACCAAATCTGGTTTTCGAGCAGCGACACCCCAGGTTTTATTATCTAGTTAAAAAGATCGAGGAGATAGCGGCTAAATACAAAAACTCCTAAAAGACTGCTCAGATATTTACATATCGTCACGCTAATAAGTCATTAAGTCGTAAGTCATTTTTAGCAGTCCCGAGAAAAACGTAAAAAATTCCTAATGATATTGTTATGCCATTGAGAGTCAATAATTTGCCATGGTTCAATTTTTTGATCGTAGCCGGATTTAAGTTAATTTGTATGACGCAGTTAAGTGACGTCATAATGGCGCACTGTGACTTAGGCAGAAACGTGTCTATGACTTGGGGACATACGCAATTTTGCAAGTTTACTATATGCACCAGTCCTGAAAACTAAACATTCCAAAAACGGATGTAATTCTCAGTATCTACAATGTCCAATCCCCAAAATAGCTAATCAGTTTCAATTACATTACTTTTTATGTTTAAAAATATATATTTCATCTATATAACACGTTCTGCACACCAACCGAAATAAGATTGAGATTAAATATAAAGAATAAAACAGCAATGCATTCAATATAAAAGTCAACCAAGGTGAATTGGACTCGGACAGTGAATATCACAAGTGCACGCCTTCCTATACTGTAGTATAAATTCAAATTAATACGCGCTAAGCTAGAATTCGAGATGCAAAAACTCAAAAATACTTCGCCGAGGTTATTTTGCCTTTGTGACGTCAAATTAGTCCTGCGGGAACAATGGTAATTCATTATGACGAAACAATTGCACAAATGTGCATGTCATACTAAATCTCCATTTTTATGGGTTTCGGAATTCTTAAAATAAAATCTGAGTTAACGGACAGGTGCACAGCATTACATAAATACCCATTTTATAAAAAACTCAAAATCGCCGAAAATGACTTACGCAATTCGGTTATTAGCGTGACGATATGTAAGTAGTTCCTAATATATAACCTAGTAATTAAAATGCCGATAACACAATATATTCACACAGTTGTCTGTTTCTTCGAATCACAACTGCTCAATTATTCTGTCTCTCAACAAAACTAAATTCCAGACGTATTCCTGTTTAGGTCATAGGTTCTCAAATTCCGCTCCACTGACAGGTGTCAGTGTGGCTTTTTGACGGCCTGCGAGGACATTTATTTCTTTGTTTGTTTCTTTTTGCCAGCGTTACCGTCTTTTTCATATTTAGATAAATGCCCGACTGTTTCAATACGTATAAAATGGTGACTATGAATATTCCAATTCACCACCGATATATTATGCCAGCAATAAGGCTCAAATCTCTGAATCAAGAAGGTTGTCAAGAATTTTTTGATGGTTATTCAATATTTTTATTTTTATTCAGTTGTCGTAACCCATACCCAATCATGATCAATTCATACTCAATGTAACACAATATAGGTAAAATTGTAAGATGAGATTTGCCGTCTTTAACGTAGACGGCGTCGAGTGGCAAATAAAATACGCCGTCCACTGTTAGAAATATTTGTTAATTTCACCTGCATTTGAATAAATTAATTACCCAACATTTGGAGGAATTTCATATTATTTTTCTTGTTGTATGGCAGGATTATATAATTGATTGCTATTATAGCATAATCACAAAGCTACCCGCTGAGTCGAGAGTTATCACATTGTAAATTCGACGATGTTGGGAAAATCCTTATCCATTTTCATTGTTTACGTTAACCTATTCTTCATAATATATATATTAACAATTACAATACATTCCTTTCTATTCATTTAAATGAAACCGTATGTGAAGCTGGCTTTTTCCGTTGTAAAATGTGATTTTCCACACCCTTTATTGCTAAAAACTACCAGTCCGATTTTCGGATATTTCACTTTAAAACCTAAAACTGGATTTTTCACTATAATAACACAATCTGAAGAGCATTTTTAAATCATGTATATTACATTTATATTAAACCCAAATTGATAAAATGGCATATAAATCAATACGAAAATTTTTTTTTTTCAATCTCACAAGTAAAAACTGTAATTAAAAAAGAAATCATTTATAGGGTATGTGACACTAAAATATTTGAGAAGACTGATGCACAATTTAAAATCATAATGATCGCTGTTATATTTTACAAAATCTTTCGAGTATATTATTTGATTAAAACAAAATGAAGGTGTCAATATAACAATATTGATTGTAAGATAATTTGTACAATATTGCATGATTTGAATATATTCGTCTCTGCTGAATTATATATATTTTAAAAACGGGTTTTACGTAATAATATGCGCTTGCTATTGTTTCAAACTAGTGAAGCCAAAAATCGATAGGAAATTTTCATACAACTAATCAAAGTATTTTGGGATTCCACAAGCACTAATTATAGTTATAGGCGTTATAGAACCTTTTTCTACAGTAAATAACTCTGGCAAATCAGAAAACTTAGTCAAACTGCTACAATTTCCAAATGACGCCAGGACCTTGTTTGTAGTTTCCACAACAAACAAATTATCATCTACATCAATCAACCGTTTATTTGATGAATTTCCTGAAGAATAATGATAAGTTACGGCGCTATAAGAACGACAGGTTTGGCAATACATTCTATGCCCCTTCTCGCAATACGCTGAAGTTGTCGTTCGGGTTCTTGTCTGATCGGGTACAACATTCAAGGTTTCTTCAATGTGACTTATTTTGTTTATTGCTCGAATGCTGGAAGACTGATCAACAAATAAGATGTCCCTTATTTTAACCGCATCAGTGTTTGACTGAACGTTTAAATAAAATTGCATACCACCAGCCTCTTCCTTTGCCCAGATTTTCAGGTCATTATTGAAATTTATAAAGCTCGAACTGCCTGAACTGAAAGCAGAAATGTTATTGCCTTCTGTGACTACAACGAATGCGTTATTTCGTAAAATCTCTTTGACACCCGGTAAGTTTTCTTTCCATTGGTTAGTTGAAGCATCATATAAAGCCATCCAATCCTTGTTCACAACATAAATGCAGTCCTCTGTAGTTGTCACCTTTGTATTGGCATCAAGATCATGGCAGATCATTGACCTCTTCTCAATGAATTGTTTGAATTTGTTAACGTAGTACAATTTGTTTCCATTGATAAGACACAGCTTGCCATTAAAATTGAATATCTGACGATGTTCGTGTTTTAACAAACATGGAATCTCAATTGTTTCTTTTGTTGCTAAATCCAATAGACAAATTTGACCATCGGAATACAGGAGAGATATGTAGTACATGCTATAATCTGGTTTCTTTTTGAAAACGGCTTTCAAGATTAATGTCAAACATTCGGGATTTGCTTCAACCATACTATCTTTAGCGATAACGTTTTCGATGAATGTACTTGGCAGATTTTCCAACTTGATTATTTGCATGAAGTCGACTAAAGTCCCCTTGCGTTTTGCTATGTCATGTTTAATCCAAGTCACAATTGCAAACCATTTCCACATTTCATTTGTTAAATATTCATTTTCTTCATTCATGAATATTGACATGAGCTCCTCTATAGTTTCAAATTTGAAGTCGATTTTTCTTGAAAGTCCTACAAAATGTGACGTTTTATATTGGCGGAGTATTAGTTTGACTTGCTTTGAAACAAATCTGAACTCTTTGGCCATTTTCTCTAGAATGTAGAAATTGTCAACGCTCAGATTTTTCTCGAACATTTCAATATCTGTCAAGACATTTTCAAGTAGAAGGTCCGTGCATTGTTTATCATCTTTGAACAGTGGTTCATTCCACACCGCTTCTAAAAATTTGGAAGAAGGAAAATCCTTCCAGTTTAATTGGTTAAAAAGCTTAAAAATGAACGCTGAACGATGTTCAACGTCATGGCTAATCCAACGTATGAGGCACTCCCATGTGATCATGTTTGCAGAAAAGTTGTTGCTTTGAATATACCCGACAAAACCGGATTTTGGCATTTCTAATAGTTCAGAAGCATCTTTAACGTTATACGTTTCTTGTAATATTGAAAGAATCTTTTCTTCCAGTTCAGTGATGCTAAATTTTTTTGCGAACAATGAAATTTGAATACAGGTAAAGTCCTTTAGATTTTCATTGAGAAATTCCACACAGTAGTCTTTGAGAGTTTGCAGTTGCATGAGTTCTACTGCTTGCATAATATCAATATTAACTGAAACCTCGCTCATTTCTCCAGTGTACATAAATTCAATACATTGACCAACAACACTTGGGTTTACATCGTTCATATCCACGAATCCTTGTTGGTTTTCTTTGGTGTCGTGAGATAACATTGCTCGGAAAAATTCCGACCTAGTCATGACCAACTCACGATGAACTTCAAATGACTGTTCACCAACATTGATAATAAAGTCAGTTGGAACTCCCGCTTCTCTAAGACCTTTTTGTGCTTCAGTATCATTTTCGTATGAAGGTGTTTCAATTGGATTTTCAGACATTTTTTAAATGTTTTTTTTTGCTACATTAATGTTTAAATCATCTGCTGTATTACCTAATACAATTCTGGGAAGTATAATATATTTAAAATTAGTATTTCAATTGACAAAAAAATATTGTCGATTTCTAAATTTAATATTATTTTTTACTCTCAGTTGTCGCAATTCAAATACGTCGATTCAAACGTAAAGTCGGAGTTAAGAGAACATTTAGGAACGATTTTCAACTGATATATACTTAAACATCATACATTTCTGACATAAAGATTCCATACATATAGTCTTTTAGTCTCAATCTAACGAAGAGTTGTATTTATTTAGTTGATGCAAAACAATTATCAGATATTAACATAGGTATACTTTATGTTAGTTTACAATTTCATGTCGAGCAGTTGAGCTCAAAATGTTTACAAATAAGCACGGAGGGGTGTGAAGTTTCGCGCTAAGAATACTCAAAACTTCCTTACTCTAAACCAAAGGCTATAGATAAATTTATCAAACAACCTGTAGTAAACTATGTCATATGACAACTTGCGACATACTCATTATATGAACCACAGGGTAGCCTAATATAACACAAAAATCATTCTAGTGATCTAGTGTAAAAGTGTGATGAGCTTGGCAAACATTACGTAATATATAACGACATCGTTTGCGAACTAGGCTACTAGACAAACAAGCGGGATTGCTCAAACAAAAAATAAAGTGTACACTACATTACACTGTAGAAATGTTTGTAATTTCGCGGCTGCTTCAATTGTAATTTTCGCACATCAAATTATAAATCATTGCCTTTACACGATTTTTAGTTTAACAAAGTTTGTGTAAAAAAGAAGAAGCTCTAAGAAAAATGGTTGGTATACTTCATTTCCATTTTTAAAATATTTTCACAATGTTTGCTCGATATTTACACAAATACATACCACGTAGGTGGATGTCACCTGGAAAATTAATTTCAATATTGATAATATTTAATATAATATTCTATTGGTAAAAATATGGGCACTGGTAATTACATCTACAAATGTAAGAAAACACTTCACCAATGGCACTGAAAAGAAGTCCGTAACAACGTCTCGCCTGACGTCATGTCTATGTTGATATTCAAATAAGTTAACTAGACTTATGAATTATGACCATTCCATGCTTAAAACCCTTTTCCAGCGGCTAAGCTCATATGAGAGAATATTTACGCTTAATTTTGTGCTCGGTAAACTACTGTTAATATCGCTCTTAGCTCTTTGTTGACTTTATCGCCTGATATGAGAGAAGCGATGGAACCTTCCAGCCGTGACGCATCGTGCGAATTCTATAAATAGCGTGGATTTCAAAATCGCCTGTCAGATGTCTGAAAATGTCGACTCAGCTCAGACAGGAAATACTCCTTTATAATGACTTATTGTTGGTTTAGCATGTATTTGCAGACATATATACTATCCCTGACCATCCCTGGCGCTGTGTTGTTTTGATAAATATGATTTTGACTGCTTCATAGTTGGCAGAAGTATGGAGATTTTTTGTAGTTAAAAAAAACGTAAAATTAATGGTAATTTTAACGCGTAAATGCGCGTATGGGATTGTTTACGCCGTTCTACGCGCATTACTGTCGAAAAAATTTAATTTTTTTGCGTTGGGGGTGGTCTGTGCAGTAATAATAAGAGCTGTGACGTCATCAAAATCAGTAATTTTAGCCTTGAACTTGATACACCTGTAGATACAATTGTGAATTTCAGAGTAATAACCATTTATGCTATAATAGGCGTTTCGGTGATGTTGTGTTAGGAAAAACTTGACGAAAACGTTGAAAAATTAATTAATTAGGAATTAATTATTAACCCTCTACTGTACACAGAATTTCTAAAAGTCTAATTTATTTTTAGAAATTTTTGAGATATTTTTGCAAAAAAATTTTTTTTTCGGAGTGTAATTTAAAGATATATTGCTGAATAGAACTCTAGCACACGCTTTTAAAAATCCATAAGAGAAGCTTTAGGGCTTAGTGGTTGACAAAAAAAATAACTTTAAAAAGACCATGTCAAATAAATTGGGTCAACAGCTGTAAGAGAGTTTAACACTTACAGGCTTTCAGGGAAGGTATTCCATAAAATATTGGGATAAATATTTGAAATAACAAGACTTCAATTATTGATGAAAGTAGTACATTCATTGATGGGCTAATAAAGTAAAATCTTGATGGGTCATTCAACCAGAATGTCCATCATCATTCGTTATTACCGCAGGATAATTATTATAAACGAAAAGGTACGTATGTCATATTCTTTCTATTTTCTAATTTTCGGAGTCATAATTTGTTGTTTTCTTTAATGTATGAGAACACTTTTTAGGGCATATGGGAACACTTTATTCCATCCGTTTCAAATTTACAATATCAACGGGTTTTAACATTACCTCGTTACTAGCAAACTTTGCAACAAAATAGTCAAATGACGGGAGATGGTCATCGCATTCCATACGTTAGAAAACGTAACCTATTTACGTATGCTCGATACTTTATTTGTAACTAGAATACACCAGTAGATTATTTGAATATGTCTCGTTCGACACGTGTCGCCTGTTTGATTCTTTTGATTCTACGAAGTACATTTTCAACGTGCAGGCGAGCTATAGCCGATGTAGACTATTTTTGTACTTATTTAGTTTTAAAAAGTATCATGAATTGCAGGGAATCAGTATTTCACATATTATTGTATCAGGGAATGTGGTTTTTGTCTGATATTTCGTGTTAAAAGTTATCTACTTTTGCATAATAAAAATATTAGCATCAGCTGTATGTACGATAATTGATTATTGCTTCCATCATATTATTGTCACAATATTGATTTCTAGTTTTGTGGGAAAAAAGAATTTTTTTTCATGCCTATTGTGTATAATTATCGCATTTTAGGCCAAAAAATTCCAAATATGATCTTTTAAACAAAAATGCATTACCACAAGCGGGCAGAAATTTCGACATTTAGTCAATTTAATTAAAAATCAGAATATTATTTTTGTTGTGCGCCGATGTCAGGTACGGAGATTTCATTTCCATACCCTGGGCTCCATGAATCACCTTCATGAATCATTTTAATACCAGTTTGAGCGAATTCAAATTTTATGTGATAACATCATGTCTCGCACACAACATATAAAAAATATTTAAATTATAAAGTTGTTATGTTTATCAGACGAATGTTGCTTACAAGATAACACAAACCCAAGCTGCTTTATGAATAATAAGTGGTGAGATTTTCAGGAGTTAAAACGTCGGTAAAACTATTTTATGAAAATGTTCGCCAGCAGTATTTTTTCGTACCAATCGCTCGCTATCTACTGACGTATTTGTTTCCAAATTGTACCAATAAATATACAACCGCGATTGAATACATACAATATTTTAATTGAGACCTTCATTTTGAGAATACATATAAATTTACAGTCGGGACACCAACTTATTTTGCAATTCTAGCATTTGAACTTGGCAAAAGCACAACAAGGGCGGATCTTATTCAGGTGAGTGGAAATGAATTTGTTATTATTCGTTGGAAATTATTTAGTATGAAGCACGGTATTAGCAGTGGTTTGGTTGCGCTGACAGGGCGCAAACTTAAGAACTTCAGATACAAATAATTCGCTGTCTAATAGCCGTTTTCTTGGTTGTATTGCCCCGAACTACTTTAAACTCTTTGGCTTATATTCAAACTTACAATATGGCGAATGATGCTCTTTATAACAAGAGAGCTACGCACAAATATATGGACACGTTAGACCAGATCGAATCAGTCCTTACCGGTACCCTCAAAAAAGTTCTGAATTTCCAGTAGCAAGAATTTTGCAGAATCAAAACGTACAGCCAGTCATGACACTGACTAAAATCCGTGTTCCCATGGATAAAAAATAATACAGCGAAATTTTAGACGAAATATCAAATTTCATAGAATTCACGCAAAATTTTGAAATAAATAAAAGTAATAGCCTTCTAACGAAAAAATTAATCTTTAACCACTGAAAATTTCAAAGCAATTGGTCCAGTATTCGAAGAGAAAAGCGACTTTTTAAAAACGTGTCAAAGAACAAGAACAAGAACAACAACAACAACAACAACAACATAATATTGAAACGATCGTTATGTCCACTACGTGTCCAAAAATAAAGGGAACCCGTGGTTGCTATCGGTGTATTTTAATTTTGGAAAAAAGGGTTGATCTGACGATTTACGACGCAAAATACACAAGAGTCATGTTTTTGAACAAACTTGAGTAGAAAATCGGAATTCGGCATCGTTTTCTTCTTACTGATTGTGTTCGGTTCGGAGAAATTAAAATCCAACTATTACTCCCGACTTCGGACTGAGAGCAATTTAACTCCGTTTCCGGGCCCTGGGTGGAAACGAACTGAGCTCCGATCACATTGGATTAAAGTGAAAAAACTTGGGAGTTATTAGGCCTCCTTTAATATTTAAAGAATTGCTAGTAAACCTAGTGCTTTTAGAGTTTCTGTGGAAAATCCCGACTTTTGTTATTAATATTGGAATGTACAAAATTCATAATCTCGACTAGGGGAATTTAAAATTTTTACTCCGAAACCGACACCCGTTTTGGTGCAGTTTGAACATACAACTCCGGCTCCGACTCTTAATTCAGTGAAATCTTGCCAAACTCAGTCAAATTCCGACTCCAAATCTCTGGTTGTGATTTTATACTATATGTTTTTGAATAAATGTTTGTACGTGATTCACGATTCCGAAGCAGCGTCAAATATCATTTATTTGCAGCAGCTTACTAGCGGAATATCGTAACTACATCCTTCCAGTTTGAATATTGTTCAGAACAATTCATTACCAATTGGCAGAGATAACAACGAGATGCGATTTGCTAACGTATATGCGGTGATAGTCATATTATTATGCGTAACTATGACTGTGGATACAGACGAAGCCGGGTTGACAGCAGTGGTAAATGAGATACTTTATGAAAATATATTTGAGGGACAAGTTTTTACGTATAAATTGAAAATATTAAATAAATAGGTAACTTTTTAAATTTTATACCAAAAATATTAATTATTTTCAGACAGTGGTAATTGCCTACCAAAGAAATATTGCGTGTGCTGAAGTTGGCTTCAAAAGTAAGTTATAAAAAAATGGTCGGCGGTAGAAATGATTATTTCGAATAAATGACAATACATAGAATATAGCGACTATAAATAAGTACAATAAGTGTTTTGCATTGTAAATCTAAAGTGACGGAAAAAGTTGTGTATAGCCTTTTTTTTTTATACATTTTACAGTTACTGGTGTTGACATGGAAGGTTCGTGGGCTGCAGCTACCTCAGGTAAGAATATTTGAGTTGTCAATTTAGAAAATAAGTCATATTTTTATTATTATTTGATGACAGAATATACACTGAATTCATAGCCCTTTTGATATAAGTTCTCATAGTTGGTTAGAAAAATAGGACATGTAAGATAATTCTATACCTTTCTACTCTGTTTAGGCATTATGAACGTAGGAGATATGATTGGTTTATGTAGAGGTATGATAATTTATTTTTTGTTTTGTAATTCACATTTTTTATATTGATAAATTCTTAAATTTAAAAAAATAAATTAAATAACATTCTTGCATTTCAGCCGCTAAGTCATGGTCGACCTTTCAAGACACAACAAGTTTTATTACGCACAAGAACAGCTAATACCATTTTAAAATTTTCTAGCATTTACATATGAATACTACTATACATTAAAATGAATTGTGGTTTTTGGGTTATAAATTTACATCCTATAATTATCAATAACGTTAGGTATTTCATTTTTGATCGTGATATGCAATACATTGTTGTCTAATCAGTAATGGGAGTCAGAGGGTTTGAGTGGGTTCTTGTAACCACGTGATAAGAAGTGAACCCGTTGTTTTTATTTTATACGCTGGACGACGGAACCAAATGGGAAAGATGCATCGCAGATGACGACTAGCTTCATATTGCTATATATTGAACTAATTCAAAAAATCAAAATTAAAAACTTCAATTAAAGGGGCTAAATTTCGTGCCTACCGAGAGATGCATTGAGACAACTTGAAATTAAAGAATGAAATGAAAGTTTATGAAGTCTTGTTGCATATGTTTAATTTTACATAATGTTTCGTTGATTTCATTGACAGATTTTATTGATCGCATATTTAATTCTATCACCAGATAAATATGTAAAAATACCATTACGAAATATATTTAATAATCTATACCCTTTATATATTATACATGCATGAACATCATTTTGCTACTTAACACTGGCAAATAAATCCAATAATTCAAAAGCAGGATAAGGGAAGTATTAGGTTCCGCAAAAACACAATCGATACCGTATGAATCAAAAGAACAATCTGTTCAAAATAAAAAAAATAAAAACTGATAAAACTGTTTCGTTCACAAATAGATCCAACAAATTACAGGACAAAATTACTTAATGTATCTCGGTAGCTTGTGATTTGGTGAAATCTTTTTGCTGAAATCGTTTGTTTCCTATGAAAGTTAATTTATAAAATCAGTTATTTATTATAAAAATTGTTTGCGTACAAACTTCTCTGAGTCGCCTTTGCTTTCTGCTTTCCGCAAAAAGGTTTATAACACATTAATGAATATCTGGTGACTTGAATGATTTTGAAAATTTTCGTTGCATATTGTGCACTGCATGATTTGCAGTATTGCAGTTTATTAAGTCTCATTGCATGTGTTTAAATTTTACATAATGTTCCATTGATTTCATTGATAGATTTTATTGATCGCATATTTAATTCTATCACTAAATAAATATGTAAATAAAATATCAGGAAATATATTTATTAATCTATACGATTTATTTATTATACATTTTGGAAACTTCGAATCTTGTTTTTTTAAATGATCTTTTATCCCATTTATGAGTGGTATTTATTTTGAAACGGAGAGGTTTTGATTAGTTTTGATTCCAACCTAAAGCATCGTCAAGCACGATGAATCAAATATTATTCAATATTAATTTCTGACGTAAAGACTCATATAATACTGTATACCTAATTCTCAATGTGGGCGTGTATGGGTAGGAGGACATATACCAGATTACCCTTGAGGTAAAATGGAATCTTTTTAAACCAGTAATATATGAGTAAAGTGACCTACTAGTTAAATATTTATTAAAATAAAGCACGGAAGTCGATTGTTCTATGTTATATGAGGAGTTATTCATAAATATAATGACGCAGTTGGTGCTCATGTTGCATAATTTGAGTCGATATGACAAACGTCGAGAATCTGTTGTAATATTTTTAAATACATCAAATAATTATTGATTATTATTATATAGTTAAATGACCTAAAAATTTGAATGTTTATTTTACAATGAACCCCCAAACTAAATTATATTTTTTGCAAAGAGGAACACTGGCTTGATACATTCATAAATTCAGTTGCTATTGTAGCTATTGCATTTGCCATATTGTAAGTACAGAGATGTTGATGTATTTATCAACGTTAAGTTAATTAAATCAAGTGACAGATTGAATTGGCAGAAGTTTGTTGGATGTTGTACAATCAGTCTACCAGTGTGTCATGTAAGAATATAGTTGTAGATATATATATATATATAAATATATGCATTTCTGAATATATTTGTCTAGAAATATATTTTGATATGTTTTTCACTGAAGCGATATAAAAATATGTGACGAATATTGCATAACAGTTGTAACTCATTCCAACTATGCGGTAGTCCATGCTTTGTTTGTATTTTCTACTGAGACGATTTCGACATATTAAAGTTTTTTGTAGTTCAATAGAATTCCTTGATAATACGATTATAAATATTTTACATAGAAAAAAAGACATTAACATCTTGTCAATAAATAAAATTAGCATTTCATTTAGATATTTAACTTAAGTAATAAATTGGATGCATTTGAAGAACAGTGTAGCTGGAAAATTACTTTGAGAATGTCCGAAAATCCAACTTCCGACAATGAAACACCTTCGAGCGAATATGATACTGAACCCCTAAAAGACTTTAGAAGTGCAGGAATTCCGACTGACTTTATTATCAATGTTGGTGAACAGTCATTTAACGTTCATCGCGACTTGATCATGAATAAGTCGGAATATTTCCGAGCCATGTTATCTCACGACACTAAAGAAAAATCAGCAAAGATTTGTGAATATGAATGATGTAAACCCAAGTGTTGTTGGTCAATGTATTGAGTTCATGTACACTGGAGATGTAAATGATGTTTCAATCAATATTAAAAATATTGTGGATGTATTACAAGCAACAGAACTTATGCAACTGTATAAGCTCAAATCCCCCTGTGTGGATTTTTTGGAAAAAAATTTAAACGACTAAACCTGTCTCCAAATTTCATTAATCGTTGAAAAATTTAGCATCACGGAGATGAAAGAAAACATTCTTTCATCATTAAAAGAAACTTACTACGTTCAGAATGTTTCTGATTTATTAGAAATGTCAAAGGCTGATTTTGCCAAATATATTCAAAAAAACAAATTTTTTCCAAATATGATTGCATGGAATTGCCTAATACATTGGATTAATCGTGACCTTGACCATTCAGAGTTCATTTATGAGCTTTCAAATCGATTTAGATGGAAGGAATTTCCGTCTTACATTTTTTTAGAAGCGGTGTGGAATGAACCACTATTCAAAGATGATAAACAATGCACGGACCTTCTATTTGAAAATATTTTCACTAACATTGAAGTTTTTAAAGTAAATCGCAGCGTTGATAATTTCTACATTCTAGAAAAAATGGCAAAGGAGTTTAGATTTGTTCCGAAGCAAATCAAACAAATGTTTCCACAATATAAAAGATTACAATTTGCTGGACTTTCAAGAAAAAACGATTTTGAATTGGAAACTAAAAAGGAGCTCATGTCCATATTAATAGATGAAGAGAAAGAGTATTTGACAAATAAAAAGTGGAAATGGTTTGCGACTATGAATTGGATTAAACATGACTTAGAAGAACGCAAATTGGCTTTAATTGATTTCATGCAAACAATCAAGTTCGAAAATCTGCCAAGTACATTCATTGAAAACGTGATCGCTAAAGACAGTCTAGTTGGAGAAAATCCAGAATGTTTGAAACTAATCCTAAATGCTGTTCTAAAAAAGAAACCAGAGTATACCATGTATTACATTGCTCTCATGTATTCCGATCGTCACATAATTCTATTGGATTTAGAAACAAAAGCAACAATTGAGTTTCCATGTTTGTTAAAGCTTGAACATAGTCAGATATTCAACTTTAACGAAAAGCTGTGTCTTCTCACTGGAAACAAATTGTACTACATAAACAAATACAAAAGATTCATTCAGAAAAAGTCAATGATCTGCCATGATATTGATGCTAATACAAAGGTGGCAACTACAGAAGACTACATTTATGTCGTGAACCAGGATTGGATGGCTTTATATGACGCTTCAACTAACCAATGGAAAGAAAACTTACCGGGTGTCGAGGAGAGTTCAGGAAATAACGCATTCGTTGTTGTCACAGAAGGCAATAACATTTCTGCTTTAAGTTCAGGCAGTTCGAGCTTTATAAATTACAATAATGACTTGGAAATTTGGACAAAGGATGCTGATGGCTTGGAATGGTCTTTCACCATTTCTCCGGAAGATTCTGCTGTTTAAATAATTGACATGCTTTTAGTTGTACAGTCATCCAATATTAGATCAATAAACAGAAGAAGCAAAATTGAAGTAACCAGAACGAATACTTCAGCGTATTGCGAGAAAGGGCATCAATTGTTATGCGAAACCTGTCGTACTTATTACTCCGCAGCTTATCATTATTATTTAGGAAATTCATCAAATAAATGGCTGCTTGATGTAGTTGGAAATTTGTTTATTGATGAAAGTACAAATACGGTCCTCGCGTCGTTCGGAGATTGTAGCTGTTTGACCAAGTTTTCTAATTTGCCACGGATAGCAACAGGTTTTCAAAAGTCAATAACTTTAACTGGTGCTTGCAGCATCCCAAAATACTTTGTTTAATTGTATAAAAGTCTTCTTTGGATTCATGGCATAATCATTTTGAAAAAATAGCAATCGTATGGTATTAGGCAGAGAAAAGCATATTCAAACAATGTAATATTGTACAAATTTCAATATATTTTATAATGTAATATTGTGACTTTCGTTTTCATCTAATAATATAGTCGAATGCTTTGTAAAAAAAAACTGCAATCAATATAAACCTACATTTTTGTTTTTATTTTCAAAGATATATATAAGTGCCACATAGAGTATAATTCCCTTCTGTTTCAAACTACAGTTTTCACATAA